CGGTTTGGAGCAGATTTATCATAGCTAAAAGCCAAGAGTCACTTTCCACGAGGCATAACGAGAGGGGATGCAGGCAGAAGATAGACTTCCAAGTTTTGCCTCATTGATAACATCCATCGTCGCAGGGAAAGGAGAAAGGAAATGGAAGTACGGGTGACGTTTGTGCGATGGAACACCTCATCATCAGTCCCACGTGCTGGGTTCTATGTATAGAGACGGAGTGCAATGCCCTGACAAAGTAATTGGTCCACACCTCTCAAAGTGATGTAGTTACATGTAACGTGCTCTTATAAACGCCTAAAATGAAATCAACTGTGAGCTAAATTTATTGTGAATAAATTTGTCAACACTTTTCACAGAGGAAGGTTTATATGAACGCAAGGGGAAAAAAGACCGGCTTCCATTACGATATAAAAAATTCATAAATCCCTTGACATTGACCGGTTAAATAGGTTATATTACATTTATTAAAGATGTTTCATTCTTGTTTAGTTTGACCGAAATGATGCCTCTTTAGCATACTACTTTTGCTCTGATTTTTTTCTTCATTTTACCCCTCAAAACTCGGTGGGCCACAGCGTCATCTGCAATTATATTGCAACATCAATCTGAGAGCTACAAATTAACATTTTTGAGAATAAACATCCAGCTTTGACTCACCCCCGATTTGAGGCAGAGTAAACATATAAATTACATCAACCGTTTATCCCTTTTCCCTGCCTTGCCTGAACAAAACAAATAGCGCATAAAACATTGAGGACAGGAGAAAAAGCGGAGACGGGGGTTTCTACACGCCCAAAACACGGCCGCCGTCAAATATCACGAAGCCAGACCATAATTTTTCCTCGGCGGTTTTCTCGTATATCTATATCGGTTTCACTACAACAGGGGCGTGCGGAGACAAATCGTAAATGTTGAAGTAGGAATGGGGCTGCATGGCAATTATTATTTTGTCCTACAAAAAGTAATTGTGTAAGGGTTGCCTCTCAGCAAGGGGAAATAGGAATCTTACAATGGCACGAATAATTATTATGTTGTGATAATGAACAGGAACACATAGACCTACATGAAATATACCCGTTCATGTTCGTGATGCTAACAAGCGGTGAGCTTAGGCAGAGATGAGAACTTGGGAGGGGGTGGTGTTACCCCTGTACCTTCCCTCACGAATCTTCATATTGGGGTAGTTGGTTGTTTCAGGAGAACGATGAATTTTTCTGACTGCTTGAGATGAATTATAGTCTGTATCAGTAGAGACGTGGTTGGCCCACCGGCAGAGCGCTGGCTATCGCGACAGAGAAATAGTTGATACGACATCGCTCCCCCGCTCTGCTTTATTTTATAGTCATTACCAACTGGGTAAAAGATATCAACAAACCCATCCTAACACGAGGAGCGTAACAAAAATCAGTAATGAAATCTAACATATCCGCTGTTTCAAAAGATTCGAAACATGTGTAAATCAAAATCTTTTTTTATCTCCACGTCTCGTGTTTTCAGAATTGAGGTTGTTTTTAATTGACATGGACATTTTCTAAAACAATATCAATATTAGACTGAGATGCAGTCTAAAACAATATCAATATTAGACTGAGATGCAGTCTAATATTATACATATAAATATGAATATGTATAGTTTAAAATTATCAAGGCATGTACATTTGGGGGAAATTATGCCAATGTACTTCATCCTCACGGTGGTTAATGACAATTAAAATATATATTTGTGAGACCACTATATCTGTTATACTTCAAAGTTTTCGAACATCATATAACATTTTAAAAAATTGTCCATAAAAGAAAATTAGGGAACAAGGAATTTTTTGAACGATTTTAAAAATAAAAATATAAATCTTCTGACTATCAGAACTGCCACATGGATGAAGGTGAAGAGTGTCTGAGATAAACTTCAACATTTTGACTGTCATTTTCATTTCTTTACTCTATGCTTTGAAAAAAGGAAAGGGGGAAATGAGGACGAAGAGAGGAGAAGGAAACCGATAAAAATCAATCAAAAGAGAGAGTTTTAAAAAAGTCCACCTAAGACACGAGGATGAGGGAGGGGAAAGGCCTCTGGATGGCATCAGTATGCAAGCCACGCCAGAAGATGAATCCATCTAAATATTAGCTCAGTCATACACAGGAAGCTCATGAAAGGACCCCATATTCGTTTGACTGATAGCCAGAAAAATCCTCGATGGACCTCGTCAATTTCTCTCTCATATCAAGAAATATCAGAAGAAAAGCGAAGAAGGAACTTAAACAATACCAAGACACGAGACCACAGTCCGACCTAAAGGCTTAAGCAACGCGGGCAATATATCCATTCCAAATTGCTTGTCTTCACTATTTGTATGAATCCGTCCACTTAAAAATCTTTCCTGTTTATTATATGTGACCACTTTATACCACGTACTCCTCGTCAATTCTACGTGAAAGGTAGATTGCGCTTTTAAGAGTAGGGGGTACTTGAGAGCATTGGAGGTCATTCCTTGTATCTTATTCTTCGTGGTCAGGCATGACGTCATAATTGTGACGAATATGCATTGTTCGAGAGTTAAATATAGACCTTATGAAATAAATATATTATATATACACACACATCTAATGTACGTTATTCAGAAGGGTCTGCTAATAATGGCATGAGATACTTTTCAATTCTCACTTCGCCTGTAAGAATATTTTTACTTTTAAGTGATTGTTGATAACGAGAAATAGCCATACGAAGTTCTAAATAACACTCCCTCTCCCACTCCCTTTCCCACTAGTTTTCTCTCAATTCAAGTCTTTTTTTCTCGCTTTACTCATAATACAAAATGCTACTGCCTATCATTTCTGTAAACCATCCCTATACATCCTCGTTGTACAATGTAAATTCGATTCAAAACACCCTTGGGAGGTCGGCCGAGGCTTACTGAATTATTAATCTCATTATATTTCAGTGATGACATTTTTACCAGCAACGGAGGCCACGAGAAACGAAACAAAAAAAAAGCATTATGCATGTACATGTGTATGAAATTCAATGTGTCCAGCATTTCTTTGAATGATGTATGAATTGGGTATAACACATCTCAATGGAGCAGTAAAAAGTCTAAGTACGCCAGCGCCAAGAGTGAGTGTGTGCGTTAAAATGAAAGCCTGGAGGTGGGTGTGGGTGTGTAACGGCGTGTTTTGTGTTCATCGGTGTGAGTATTCAGACTCGGTTACCATGACGACAAATGGACTCGTCAAAGTCACCGCTGTTTGCGAGCTGAAGAAAAAAGGTTTTTCCACCGATATTTTCACCTTTCGATCTGTTAGTCAGAGTTGTGAATATTTCTCTTCCCCAGAAGAAAATTCCCTTTTCCCTTTCCTCTTCTCTAATCTACCTTCTCTTCTCTCCAAATTCTCCAACTATAAGTTGAATCATGCCTTTCCAACGATACATTAATCTAGTACACTCGAATATACCATGCATACACATTAATTCGATTTTTTTCCCCTTCTAATTTTACTTTCTGTCGCAATTTGCACCTTATACGTTAAAGAATTCATTACAACATTCTTGTTAAATTATTCCATTTCAACATAAAATGGTGGGAAGACACTTTAACAAATAATATAGGCTAAATACGAAATCAACGACTACGTGGTCAATTTTGAGGAAATGCCAAGAATCAGACTTTTAGATAATTATAGACTCGGCGAAGTATATATTTCAGATAGTGCCTAGTTCATTGTCATTCTACAAATTTCATTTTGATAAACACGTTTTAAGAATCGCTGACAGATTGTATCCGCGAATTTCTCGGATGATATCCTTATAAAGTACAAATATTGTAATTATCATCAGTCCGACCAGAGCGTCATATTATATTCTATCCGCGTTTAACAGTAATAAGCTGTAACTTAATTCCTGTCAAGTAGTCTGATATATGAATGATGAGCTTTGGTGACTTCGACGAGAGCCTTTGCATCTTAATTATAATGATCAAAATATCATATAAAGAGATGTAACAAGAAGGAAAAGGCCATGCATACAAATCAAAGCAATCACCAATCTGACACGGATACAAACACAGTGTGAAAAACTAAAGAATGAAATGAGAGAGAGAGAGAGAGAGAGAGAGAGAAAGAGAGAGAAAGAAAAAGAGAAAGAGAAAACGAAAGATAAAGAGAGATAGAAAAAGGGGGAAAGAGAGAGTAAGAGAAAGAGAGAGGGAAAGAGAAAGAGAAAATAAAGGTGGGATAAAGAAAAGGTCAGAGTGAAGGTAAAGAGAACAAGAAGAATAGAACAACAGAGACAGGAAGAAAAGAGATATATATGGGAATTTAAGGAGTAGAGAGATAGACTCACAGAGATAATTGAGCAGGAGAAAGTGACAGGATATCCATGGTAAAATTTAGTGAAATCTTCGTGCGCATACAGATAGACTGATAGAGGGAAAGTGAAGGAGATGAAAAAAGGGAGGGTCTGGCAAAATAGGTGTGCATATTCTGCGAATCCCTGATTGAATCTGGACGCCGTCTCCTTCCTTAATACTTAATAGCTGTATTTTTGCCAAAAAATGTCAAATTCTGCTTCATAATTTTGCTGTTTTCATGATTCACAGGAAATGTGCAAGCTGGTTGATAACAACCACGGGTATTTAAGCAGTACCATGTTTCATGTATGTAACAAATACTCATTCATAGAACACATTCGTGATATTGCAAGATTTGTTTGTATTTTAGGACATGATAAAAGCTAGAACCAATATACCAAACATTATTAGTTTGTTCTATCTTTCCCTTTTGGTCATGGTTCTAATTTTTCCGTCTTACAAAACCCTGTTCATATTTTAAGGAGACTAATACACGTAGGGAAATTGGGAGCTCGAAATTTCAATATATTTAAATATTTTGGCCATACAATTCCCACCGGATTACGAAGTGCCTGTAGTGAGACGCCCCTAACGCGCCCGAGTAGAGTAATTATAGTGGCAACATTGGCCATAGAATGATGATTTGACTCTTACCAGTTGTTGGAATGGTGGTTGTTCGATGTCGCTCTGCAATGCGAAGTCGCTGAGTGCTTTCCATGGTGGTTGTTGATAGCTCTGGACCTCTACCTGACTACCCTGTGGCATCTGAGAATCGTGGCGTACAGGACTAGAGGCTACCATCGGGACTCCGTTGAAGCTTTGCACTCGGCGGTTTGGATCCTGCAATTAATAATAAAAAGGGAATGAAAGAATAATTCATGGTAATTAACAAAAATTATCATCTGTTTAAGTGATTTACAAATATAGCACCCAACTGTTCGGACAACCCTACTCATATACTTCATCTTGACATAGAAAGGCCAAAGACGAAGAATGGATAGCTTCTTCTTACGAATATTATCATTTCAAATGCATCACTTTCCAATCATTCCCTTTATAAAAAAGGATGAGATTTAGACCTTATTATCAAACGACCTCCTGTTTGATAAAACCAGTCAATCAATAACAATAAGGACAACACAAATACATCACTCAATCAATCAATAAATCAATCAATCAATCAATTATTCAAACAATCACTTTATGAGTCCATCACTCAATCAGAACGACATTGTCTATATCTAATCTCTTAGCTGATGTTAAGATAATTTTCTTTTTCTATTCGGAATATAGTATTTGTCAAAGACATTATATTCGAGTCTTTCATTTTCAATTTGGTCTATTGCCTTGTCTGACTCAATAACACATTAGCAAAAATTTAACCATTGGAAAATTTAAGAAATGTATCATATCAATAATTTTACTTGTGAGATAATCTATTTTCAGGGTCAATGAGGGTTCGCTTTCTCAAGACAAATGACAACGATTCCCCCGCCATTTTGATTACCCTTCTACGCAAACGTCCCCTCCTTGATTACCCTTTGTACATGCATCTCCACCCCTCTATCTCTTTCATAAGCCCCAAATTGAATTGTACCTTTAAGCGACATGCGCATAGAGATACCCGACTCAAATTAGTTTGATACGGCAATCAAATTACTGAAGTCGAATAAATGCTACCAGGCGACGCGGGCGAACCCCTAATCGGGACATGCGTTCGATGTCGGCCCATAATTTAATCCTGTTTTGTGCCCAGCGCGCAGATTACACGTCTTCTTCTCCCTTCCACTGCTATACCGCTCCTCTGATAATGGATGATACGAGGGATGGTGCACGCTATAGTAGGAGAAGACGCTTTGGAAGATGGGGAAGAAAAGAGGAGCAGTGCTTTCTCTTTTATCTCGTTGTTGTGTCATTGTTTTTAAAGGACCATGTCAGGTGATGTAATGAAGCTGGAGGTCAGAAACGGTAAACCCTTGGTCATGAATGAAAACCACAGATAACGAGAAGTGGAATTATGATTTAGTTTTCTTCATAAAAAATACGCATTTTTCAATCTTTCCTTTTCTTTCAAAGAATGCTTTTTTTTTTAATGACTAATATATTTAATTTCAAATCATTAAGTATTTCAGTCAATTTCATCTTTGAAGTCAATCTAAAAAGACTACCTAATTGAAAAGCACAATATAGTGGAGTTTGATGTGCTATGGCAAGACATTGTGCTGATCAAATTCATAAATCCTCCACTATGCCTAGAACGCTGAACTCCAACAAAAGCGCTGATTTATGCACTGGACTTTCTATCGACCACGTGTACGTTTCCCCAAGGATATCTTCAAAACGTTTCCAACCACCTACAGATACTGTAACAATGGCGTCTTCGACCTGCCTCAATGGAGTCAATGCAGCTCCTAACTGATCTCATTTCTCCTCAGCCCCATGCCTTCATATCTATTCCAATGCGAGGTATGGTATGACCGTGACTACCATCAACTAATTCAGTCACTGACTGATTTCTTAATTCATGCCGCCTTTGCTCAAAGGACGTAGGAAGAAGCGAACACAGACATGCTATAGAACGTATTTGAAGACCAAGTATCGACTTGAGAACCAACTCAAGAATTGAGCAATAAATGGCTGACAAAAACAACCAGCGTTCATTACACAATTTGAAGCCAATGCCCTTATTATACGATTGAATCTTAATAATCAGATTATCGGGAATTCCATACATATACCAAAGATGATGACGTCATAAGATGATCTAACATTGGAAAACAAAGCTTTATAATAATGTAAAGTGAATTTCATTATCAACACAAGAGTAGCATTACAAATTGTTTTTAAACATGCTATTTAAAACAAATTGTACAAATCTTTCAGGTAGAAGATTGAAAGTTCTTTCATTAATCTACAAATGGTTTAATCGATGGTATATTAGAAGGACAAACATTACCTAACAAGCTTAAACGTGACGTAAATAGCAAAATCGGCCCTGCTAAAGAGCAATTTCATTTTCCCATCATCCATTGTGAAGCCATATTTTTCGGCGAGATATGATTGATTCGGAAAGGTTGCAGAAAGGTTATGTCGAGAGTCTGACTTAACAGAGCCAATGCAGAACAAATGCCACTCGCATGGCTCTCTATAGTCACAGGCTTGATTTTATTTTAAAGAAAAAAAAATTAACCAAACCCTTATATACATGTATAAAGGAAATTAAATAAGGCCTGCGACTGTATATTATAATGATACCAAATCACGTAGAATTGATGAACCTAGAAATATAATGTATTTCATAAGACCATTCTGGAGTCTGTAATGTGTGGGACGTGAATGTGGAGACAAAACGATGGATGAAACTTAAATGAGAATCATACGACTACATAATATGAGCCAAACTTGTAATCAATATCAAGTTATAATAAATGTTCCAAGCTTAATAGTCTACTGAATATCATGGCCTTTCATTAGGGAGAGAGCACCTTAAAACTGTCATAGAAATGATGCATTCGTGATTGATAACAAGTTTTATGAATCATGGCCATGGTCTGGTCCGATTCCGCCGTATTTGTATTACGTTGGGACAAGGGCTTTCTATGTAATATCATTAACGTTATATACATGGTTCTTTTCTAACCTTTTGTATAGACATATTACTGGAGCATTAGGTGTAGAGAAATATGGTATTCATATTGTGTCTCGCCGACCTGGTTAAATGCCTGGAGGGGGTTCTTGGTTTTCGACGACATGAGAAAAGCAGACATGGAACTGACAAACACACATTCAAACAGACACATGAGGGATGTTTCTAAACCGACAGACAGACAGACTGAATTACAGGGCGGCAGAGAATGTCTTACATTATGGAATCCCACCTACGTACTCACATGATCAAATATTACTTATTACAATTTTATAGCTTTTACCACGGAATGTTTAGTGCGGGCGTTGACATGCATAAATTGGATCTTACGATATGTGAGCGTTTGTGTAATTTCAATGTCCTCTCAAACCCTGCAAATGTACTGCGAAAAGAACGATTACAATTGTTTTGCGTGGGTATATTCTGTTTGTATTAATACCCAAATTAGCCTAGTGAGAATAGTGTGAGCTATTTGGAAGCCAAGCAACAAATAACATGGGGTAAAGATATCAAGCGTTCAGGACAAACAGTCAGTCGCAAGTCCCATTTTTTGTATAAATCTGAAAGTTCCAATTACAAATGAAAAAAGATATTAATAAAACCAGGATACTTTTGTGACTCCTTACTTTAATAAATAATTCATTTTTGTTCAACATAGATAACTACAGCCTATTATTGGCTCGTGAAAGTTACAAGCATGGATAAATCATATTGGTTACCATGGATTCCTGTTATTTTTCTGATGAAGATCCCCGGTGTGTTTTCACCTACTAAATTCTATTAGAGTCCCTAGACCCTTCGCCACTTTCTTACCATGCATCCCCCTAACCAAAGCAGACTTAGAGAATAAGGCCCTCTGAAATGGGAAGGTGATTTGAGAAAACATGGTACATTTTCCCCCGTTGTTTTTCAACAATAATCCGTTAAGCTTTTGCCAGCGGGTTTGGAAATATTTATCTAAGCGCGATGATTAATGTTGTCACGGGCCCAATTTTTTTTTCTATTGTCGTGCAAGAGTCGAGAAAAATAAGGAATTTTTTCCTGCTTTTGCCTCTCTCTTCTTCTGCCAGATCAGCCGACGGCAAATTTGTAGGCATGTTTTCCTTTGTGACGAAAGGCTAACACGATTTCTGTGGCGGAGATTAGCACGTTGAGGTAGGAGTGACGTAGCGGTGTGGACTCGGCTGTTGACCTACTGTCGGTCTCACTCTCATCACTGGGATCGCTGCCCAGCATAGCACAGTGTATAGCCCCTCCATACCTTAGCTTTACAACTCCTCCTTCTACTTTTTAGGCATAAAGGTTGATAGGTGTTGATTTAAAATTGTATATGGGTCACACAACAACAAACACCTGACCGGGAATTATGTTCTTAAACGTAGCATTCGGACTATCTAAGTATAGATGAGTTGCAGTAAAAATGAAGACAATGACCAAAATCATGCCACTATGATATTCTACAACAAGAAAAGGAAGCATTTAAGAAAATGAAATTACATCCAGAATAGTCCAATACTTCAAAAAAAAACATTCTTATTATTTTTTAAACTTCAATTAGAAGCAAAAAAGTTTATTACAATTACATGCGCATCCTGTGTTGAGTCTTTCCATGTATGAAAGTGATAAGAACGGAAATACGGAATAGAAGGCGCCAAGTAGTTCTTTTCTTCCAAACCTTTACCATGCATGATCATACCTAGGTGGAACCAGCCAAATTAGTATTTTTATTCCAAACCCGCCTTCTTCAATATCCTAACCTGTCATGAGCGGTGTTTATCACACACTCTGCCTTAAGAGTGTGCTTCGGAATTAGGTCCTTCATACCCACGCGGGTAAAATGCCCTCAGTCCCTACTAAACATAAATTTGTTATCCCCAACCGCGCTTGTAATTTCGCGAATTATTTTTCCTACGCAAACAGGTCATTAACCATCAAACATTGAGCTTCGGAGCGACGAAAATACCCAGTTTAAAAGAAGAGAAAATGAGAAGGGGAGAGTGAGAGAGAGGAGGAAAGAGAGAGAGAGAGAGAGAGAGAGAGAGAGAGAGGGAAAAAGAAGTGGGGGGGGGGTCGCTGAGGTATAAATGGGTGAAATAGATGTCGTCAGCTTGTCTTTGAACACAGATCTCTCAGGTGGGGTTGTCACTACGGGCAGGTAAGCAAACCCTGAGGGGCTAGTGTAAGCAGCCCCTTG